CATGTTCATAAAAAACACACACATTTTATTACAATACGATTTACATACCGTCTAAATTTACGGTGAAATAATGGGTGGGTCTGTGAGGAAACACTTCGTTTTGGTATGTTTTCGATCGTACGCGAACTCTCGACGCAAACAATTTTCCACCATGAGGTTTTTCAGCACGATTTGACCTGGAACAACTTCCTTTGACATAACAGGTCATGTCTTTCATTAACCAACCAAAATGATGTGTCGTAATGATGAAATTTTCCGATTATTGACGATTTTTAAGCGCAATGCGGAAGTGAATTACCGCAATGTTAAAATGCGATCTGTAGCACTGATTGCAACGAAAAAACGATGATTTTTTTTCCCTAAAAACTGGCGATTCGCAATTTCCGAAATATAAACGACGGTTAATAGTAACCGTGGGTAAACTGAGTGTGGAGGAAGAATTTAAACACCTTTCTCGGTCTCATCGTTCAAACCCTAGGCCTTTCATGATAGTCTCAAAGTAAACCATGCCCAATAACCAGGTACACGCCTTGACGATCACATTTTTGGCTTTTCGAAGGCTACTACTCAAAGAAATATGGATTACTCCAGAATTGCAACATCGATGTTCCTGAGTAAATGACAGAATAGAAACGATACGAATCACGTTGTGTATGTTCGCCATGCACTCTGAACTTGAAATTAATGCGAGTTTTCTCATAAAACTAAAAGCATGAACCAAACTAACATGCCAATCACGATTATCATGAAATGAAACACACCTTTTACATGCATATTTTAAAGAATATCGTCGATGCCCAGTAAAAACACTCTGGGCTTATAATCGTGAATGCCCTCAACTCGATAAATACCAAGTAAAAACATAGGGATGGGCTTCATACTCGGGAGGGGCTTACGATCGGGGAAGTACGGTACTTTAACGCAAATGGGCTTTCACTCTTAGAATACTGTGGTTCAAACGCATAAGGCTCTAACCCAAGTTTTAAAAAGCACATTGTGCA